ACACAGGGTAGAACACTCGAACGACCGATTTTAAAAATAGTTTCCCAGTAATAATTAAGATACGAATTATCGCTAAATATTATTAATTCTAAAACATAAGTCTATAAAAGTTAACATAATATGTATTTTGCATTAACATTTAATATCTCAATTTGTGTATTTTTATTATATGAATAAAAAAAAGAACTTTTTCTCTTGAGTGAGTATGCAGATACTATAGACTTGTACCATTCTAAGTACAAATTACAAATTAGTTATTTGTTATTAATTTATTAATCTTATGAGTTAAAATTCTCAATGGCGTCACAAACATAATTTTTAGGGCAATTGCCTATATAATTATTTTATTTTAAATGTGTGAATATTTATAAATTGCAAATGGAGTATAAAAATATTTTTATACTTGACTATTATTATTGAATAAGTAAAATGTTAATATTAATTCAATGTGATAAAGTAGTATTGTATAATAAATAAATTTTACTGATTTACTCTAAGAATCAACACATATACAAAACAATACATACAGTATGCCTGTATAGTTAATATTTAAATTGAATAAGATAACTGGGAAGATTATATTATATTTTACGCATAGAGTATTAATTATTAGAAGTTACCTATAAGTTAAGTAATGAGACTTATAACCTATTGTATTAATGTTAATTGATATAGTAATTAGTAAAATAATATTATACATAAGCCGTTTTTAATTTTATATGTGGTGTAGATGGGTAATTTTAATATTTTGCCTATTTTCTTTCATAAATAAAATCTTTATAACGGAACTAAAAATAGTGATAATAAAATAACTAGGTAATTATGAATTATATTAATGAAATATAACTCAAAATTTTAATAGCTATATTTTATTACTGATATAAATTTATATTATTATCAATGACATTGTATAATGAAATTTGAAATGTTATATAAAAATTTAAAATTTAAATGCATAAAAATGTTTATGCTTATTATAGATTTTGATAAAATGTATTGAATATGAAATCTGCATGTGTTATTAATTACCTATCAATGGTTTTAGTAATATTCCTGTAATCAAAAATAAATTTTAAAATCTATCTGCATAAAATAAACACCCTAATTATACTTTACCTACAGAAAACCTAACAAGTATGTTTATTAAATCAGTTGAAAAATCACCTTGAATCTAAATTGAGTATTTGAAATGTTTCTAATTAAATTGTACTCCAATCAGTAAACATTTTTTTTTATCTATTAATTAATAATTAATCATTGCGTTCAAAAATAACAAATTACAATGATATTATATTAAAACCGAGGTTATATTTTAAGAGTTGTGCTAAGCAGGTGAACGAAACGAAACCAATGCATGCGACAGCCAGCACTATGTATAATAATCATGATGTGTACCTAAGTATTCAAATATGCCATGAATTTGTATCCATATTGGAATATATAGGTATTTGTTTTAATTCTTCAGTGCTTTTACCAACATTAAAGTACAGACGGAACGCTCAAGTCTATAGTAAAAGTATTTTGTAGAATACCTATTAAATAAGTAAGTATGTATTTTAAATATTTGTGACGTATAAATATAATTTACCCGATCAACATGCAGTTTAAATATTTCCCGAATAGAAATATTAATTAGCCAAAATAAAAAGCATTTGTTAAGATATAAAATTCCTAATATTTATCTAAACAGGCTGTAATTAAACAAACTATACGTTATAATATGTTAATTTGTTTACTTTAATCGCATAATATTTATTTTCATTTAAACAACTGCATTCCGTTATTCCCACAGATCTGCAATATCCTGTAATCTGTATCTATTAGATTATCGTCGTAAAAATAAAAACAACAATGACCCTGAGAAACATGCCCTATCTACAACCTGAGCCAAGTTGCTAAGCACATGCATAATTTAAATAAAAAAGATAGATAAGATATTGGTATATAGATTATAATAAAAAAATAAGTTGTTCTATTAATAGAATACCGCCGTCTAAATTGAATACATTAAATAATAATAATAATAATAATTAATCTCAAGTATATCTTTTTTTCAAATAAAAGGGAAATAGGAGAGCAAAATCAGATATTATCCAAAGATGTAATGTTTAAGAAAAATATTAACAAAAAAATCGTATGAAACGAATTTATATATAATTAGAATTACCCAGCTTTGCCTGTGTGTAGTTTGTGCTTTCTCTGTGTGTTGTTTATAATTTTATTTCTTTAGGAATCCCGACAATGAAATCAATCAGCGTTAGGACACTAGCCATGCAGTAAAGCAAGAAATTATTGCGCAATTGTAACAACTCTTACATGAACACAATTGGTCAATATTTTCAAGGTTATACTAGAAATGATGTCTTCAGATGATCACAAAATAATGATCAAAGTTGATCAAATACCAGCAGTTGAACATAAAAGGCACTTCAATGTACTAACGTTAAATGAAGTTATCATTTTGGTTGTTGATGAGACTTTGGTTTCTCACGAAATTGTAATTTGAAAGCGTATGATAGTGATAACTTTTAGCGTATCTGTGAAACTCGTCATTTGTATAATACAATACCCATTGATATTTGCCGAGGATCTGGATAAGATGGATTTAATTTTTAGGATATAAAGATAAATAATCTTTTAACCTGTATGTAGCAATTTTTAATCATTTTTTAATTCGTTTCCTAACAAAAATTAATTGTTTGTTTATTAGTTAAAAAACAGACAAAAATATCACAAATTTTTGAATTAAACAAACTCCTTGAAGTTTTATAACTACCTTTTGATAATTAGTCGAAACGACGACTATCAGACACTGAAATTCTGTAGACGATTTTATTAGTTCGCCGTTGACAAATGCATAAATATATATATATATATACGTATAAATCGAACGGAACATCTAACATATATACTATATACGTTTAAATTTAAAAAATTTGTGTACAAAAAAATACGTTTAACAACGTGATGCAATGAATGTAGATGGAAATGCAAAAAATGTCGCCCGACTTACCATTTTTCCAGCTACGTATGTTGAAAGCCCATGGCACGTGTAAGAAGCGATAACTCACGTGCGTCAATACGGTCGACCATATTCATCATTTTCATATACAACCCAAAATGGATCGAAAACACTCTATTTTTACCACTCGATCAATTATTCAGCGATCGCTGCGACATATAGCACGAGTATTCAAGCGGAACCTAAAGGCACTCATGAACTTAACTGTATAGTATCATGTTATTGTAGAGTTGCGATTGATGTACTCTGTGGAATGGCAAAAAAGAGAAATACCTCATGTGTATATATTTTTTTTATGAGCGTTTCTAAAAAATTAAACTGGTTGAAAGTTGAAACTAATACCATAATTTATGAAGAAATTTGTGATACCTAATGAAACAAATCAAAAATTATATGAAGAACTGACATGAATATGATTCATGAACAGTGTGACAATCAAAAATGGAAATCGTCGTGCATGGTCTAATAAAATACTCCAAAATGTATCCTGGTACTATTTTGGTTGACACAATCACAGACAATGACGGTTATCCCTTATATTGTTGTGATTCTGCAAAATATAACAGCAGAATAATAATTTTGAAAGTCAAAAATAAGAATGTTGTAATCGACAACAGTTGGATAGTTCCGTATTGCTGTTAGTTTCCAAAACATTTAAAGTGTATTGCAATATTAAATACTGCAATTATATCAAGTCCATTAAATACGTTTACGTGTACATCACGAAATGAAGCGAGATGGTTATACTTAGCATTGCAGCTTCCAATGTCAACGTTGAAGTTTCGCAATATCAGATAGGAAGGTATGTCAGCAGCACTGAGATGGTTTGTAGAATCTTTTCATTATCCATACATGACATCAAGCAACAGTAGTTAGTTGTGTGCCTAGAAAATGGACGAATTTATTTCAAAGCAGCAAACGCAATGCAGCTGAACAACCACTAGCAACCACACTGATAAGCTTCTTCGGGATATGTGACTCCTATTTACAAAAACACTACTTTACTCGGAAATGCCAAGGTATTTTATGTGAAACGCATCATAAAAAAATTCTAACAACCGGAACACAGAAAGCCTGTTACGTCTTTTCGATTAAATCCATTTCATTTGTAGAATAAATACAAAGATATTTTCATCAAATGCATACAACAATAGAAAATCCCAAACTCGAATTTAACGTTGAAATCTAAAACAAGGCATTGATTTCTATTGAGGATTTAGGTCTCATAATATCTTACAATATGTACAAAGTAAATTGGAAATTCTAGCGCCCAATTACTTCATGCACGGTACACCCTATTAAAAATTTGAACAATAATAGAAATACTATCGAGATGCTTTGAATCAATCACTACGTACAAAGGTCTTTCTTTTGAAACTGCAGTAGAAAACCGCGTATGACACATTGATGATAGCAGTCAACTTCAAGTTCAATTCTTCTTCTTCTATGTACCTTACATAAATAACAAAACGTTTCTAATTGTATTGATTTAAATTTTGATTTACGCAAAGTATTAATAATTTTAATAACTTTTTTCATGATTACACGCCCGTTACAATGTCCCTCTCTCACAACAAAATGATTACCTATAGTGTAACCAAGATGTATGATAATATGTATACAATAAATTATTTATGTAAGGATGACATTTGGGTGTGTGATTGTAAAAAGGTGCTGTGAAAATAAATCATGGCTTTTGATAATCACTGTGATTTTGTGTTATACGAAAAAATGGCTTTAAGAAAGATAATCCTTAAATTTTAAAAATCTGTCAAAAAGTGCTATGAAATTATAATTACATAATACTATATTAGACATTATTTATTTGGTACGTTGTAAATAATTTATCTATTTATATACAAAAAAAAAATTAAAATAAACTTAAGCAATTACTATGCAACTGATTTCCTAATAATAATATATTTTACGAGCATTGTCATATTATTTGTTAATTCCTAATATATTTGAATAGAAAAATATGTTTAAAATCATAGATAAACTAATTTTTTTTTTTAAATGTTTATATAGTTTGTTTATAGTTATTTTCTTTAAAGGTTTAATAGGTAAAGAATTGATTTATTATCGACCTGAACAATCAAATAATAAAAATGTTTGTACGTTAAACGACGAGTTTGAGCTTATTAATCAGGCTGATAAGTCAATAATGATAGTATCTGTCAAAAATAAAAGTAAGGATACAACCGAAAGTCTAAGCAAAAGTGAATTTGGAGCACGAAAAGTAATATAAAAAAAATCTCCAATTACATACCATACAGGAACTCTTATATTTTGCTTTGAACGTTTCTTATTTGTAGAATGAAGAGCAATCGATAATAGAAACCAATAAATATTCAAACGACGAAGTAATCGTCAAAGTAGAAAATACGGATACTATTCTTGAAAAAAGTGTTTTTGTAATGAATTTAACATTTTACATGAAATTGATAAAAAAGAATAAGCTTATTAACAAGTTGACTATTACGTAAGGCGATTGACTGAGCAATAACTCTAACCAGATCACTATGATAATTTTTTATGAATTATTGTAATTACATTTTTTATTTACGTTAAAAATATCAACTTTACAAAAAAATATTATAGGGTATACCAAATAGATTTTTCAAAACCATTTCAAAGAAGTTCTAAGGAATCCATGCCAGAGTATTTTTCTATAAAAAACTATGTTTAGTGAGGGTTCTCAGAATCCTATGTGACATAGAAATTAATTTGAATTGTACGGTATGAAAACCCTACAAAGCCTGGTAGTAAAAGAATACTGTCGTGTTATTAAATTCTACTTGGTGATAATAGCAAATTGCATTGTCTTAGCGTGCCAGTCAACTTGTTCAATGAATTTTTTCTTATCTATCTATGATTGCTTTTAAAATTTATTTGATTAGATATCGATAACATATTGGTTTGAAATTATAAATTTACATATGTTATGCTTTTTTTTATAGGATTTGGAATTGAAGGAATGGAACATTTTGTATAATGAAATGATGAAATATATTATTGACAAACCGGAGAACGCTGATGATATTGCAACACTTAATCAAGATATAACATAAACTTTGTGTCAAAAAGATTTTCAAAATAAATTATGAGAAACGTTTAATATTTAAGATTAATGCTTTTTGAATTACAACAAAATAATTGAAATTTTTTTTCTTGTTTATTTATTAGATAAAAAAATAAAAAATAGTAACTATGTATTTTGAATATTTTCAAACAACTATGAGAAAACTTAAAAGGAACATTGTTTTATTATTATATTAAACTTTCAATCTTTTTAATCAAGAAAAAAATGTTATCAACATACTAGTAAGTTGAAAAAATTAAAATATTTATCATATTTACTAAAGTGACATTCTAATATTCTATAAACAACAACAATTACATATAATATATTAATATATTATATTAATTTAATCAATGTATGAAATAAATGTAATCCATATGGCTCTATGGAATGTATAGAAGTTATAAATTTGAAAATATAATACTTTTAAGGCCCTATAGGCTATAGGCACAACATTTTTCTTAATATAATAATTAAAGAAAATTAGGACACATAAAATTACTTATCCCAAATGCAAACTAGGTCACAGGCTCTAAAGGCCTATATACATATTGCATTTATAGTTTATACCATGTATATAATGCACTTAAAAAAAAAAAAAAAGTTTTTTTTTTTTTAATTCTTATAAAATATTACGCTAATAGTGTTATATTTAAATAATGCCTTTAAACATAATACTAAATAAGGTAAGTTGTGGCCTAATAAATGTTTATGTAATTTAATTAAAATTTTAGATTGAAAATAAGTAGCTAAACACTGGTACATCCAATAGTTATATTGTTATAACGAACTTTAAGATACGCCAGTCAAATATTCTTATTCGATTTGGTACATCTTTAATGCCTAGGTATATTTTCCATAACATAAACATATAATGTTATTTAACTTAACTTACCTTCAAAATACATCATTACTGAATACATTTTAATCTGCTGTTCATTTATAATATCTTTAGGGTGTGGCATGTTACTCAATTAATTCTAACTGGTCATAAATTACAATAATTTAGTTACATTTAAGTTACAAATTAATTAATTATTTACGTTTATTTCTTCGAGAAATAATGGAACTAAATATTTATTTGTATGAAGGATATTCATGAAAAAATGTTTTGTTTAAGTCATAAGGTAATAGTTAAGCTTAACTAAAATTTAAAAATGACCACATTTCAATTTATTAAAACATTATTTATATAATATTATAAAATGTAATAGGTAGTTAATATAATATCAAATAAAGAAAATATACAGACATCAAACAACACAATATTATGGTTGATACAAAATATAAATAATAGACATACCCATTTAAAGTAAATACATTTACACGCCAATTTTATAGAATAAAATAATACATTTACTATTTATGATACTAATAATTATCTCCAATATAAACATTTGTTATAAAAATCTTATTTAAAAAAAAAAGAAAAAATTTAATATATAAATAATAATAATAATACTTATATTTGTAACTAAGTACCCAATATAACTAATATTTTAAAAACCAAAAAAAATAGGTTAATTATAATTTAAATATAGTGAATAATTTAACCAATAAATGTATAAAAAATGGCCAATGTATTTAGGCAAGATTATAAAAAAAACGTCATTCCTGTACAAACAAAAAATGTTTTATAAAATGATATTAAATTGTATTTTATCAATCAAAATTGTAAAAAAAAATTGTAATGTTTTTACATAACATCGTGTTTATTCTTATCAATAACATTTTTGTAACGATTATATTTTAAATATGATTTTTGAAAATCATTTCTGTATTATTAAATATCAAAATAACCATTAAAAAGTAACATTTCTTATAACTAGGTAGTAAACTTTGTAATTTTACAAAATTTCAAGTTTAAGAACAATTTCTTATTAATATTAATAAAGCTTGTTATGAATCAGGTTTGTAGAATTTTATAGGAGTAAAATGTATTATAGTTGAACAAAATCGATGGGAGTGTGAAATATTGAACACCTTTAATGTACATTATATAGTTCAGTTTTCTTAGTGGATGACGAATTTCTTTATATTTTCAATGATTGTAACCCTTGATGAAATCAAACTGTACATCATGGTTAAGCTGAAGCCGATCAGACCACCAATGCCACAATTTCTAAGACCACCTGAAATATTTTCAGTTTATTTTGATAACATCATTTTAAAATAAATATTTAAATTAAAACAGATTTATTATAACTTAACCTAACCTATTCTCTGACATCAAATTATTCTACATTTAATTAAGTTTAAGTAGATTTTAATATACATAATACATATAAGCATATAATTGTTTTATATATTACAACTAGGCCAAGAATCAATATAATATACTAGGAGACTCCTAGTAGGAATACTAAATACCTTATTTCATATTTGTGGAAAAACCACGTAAGTAGATAGACTTTGGATGCCAAGTGACAGACTCGTATCACTGGTGTACATTTTAAAACAATGAAAATTTAGGTTAAGTTACAAAAAAATAGTCAACATTTTTTTGGAGTCTAGCCGTAAGGTTATTAAATAACAACATATTAACATACTAAACCTTTTTTTTTTTAAAGTTTTACTATCGTTAGAATCAGGGCCGGCGCAAGAAGTATTTGCGCGCTGGGCGAAACTATGTTTTGGCGCCTTTACAACCCTCCCTCCCACGCCTAGTTTGAATAGTAGTAAAATTAAGTTTTTTTAGTAAGTTGAATAAAATAAGTATGTATATTGTAACATAACTTTAAACTTCATTACCTGTTCGTAAAATATTGTAATAAGGTTATACAATATTATTTATTAAATTATAAAATTGCAGCATTTCGTAAAAAAAAAAATTCATATATTAATAATTATATTGTATTAAAATATATTATATATTAATATATATTTATAATATCATAAATAGACAATAGACCACACAAATTATTGTGCAATAGCAATCATCACATTACACTCTATAATATTATAGTATTAACAACGGTCGTCACTGCCTATAATATAAATATAATATAATACTGTGTTCACTAATTACCAAAGACAACCAGAGAACGGAATTTATTGTAAATAAGAAATCAAAATATTATGTATAAATTTACTAAACAAAGTATATGAATATTGATCACCTGTTGGCAGTTACTTGTTATTTTATACATTTGATATTACACAATAGACCATACGGCGTACGAAGCGAGGGATCGTCGAAAACAATAAATAATTGTGTGTAGTATACTAGTGTGTTTCAGACACATGTGTTTTTTTGATTTACACTGCGGTATTTTCGCCGTAAGATCCAAATGGATGTTATCACCATGATTTTTCTAACGAATCTAGACGTAATCGTCTAGTAATATGAATTTATTTATATATGGTAAATAATTAGGTATATGAAAATAATTATTAACTATTACGACCATCTATCTGCGGTATCGATGCACTGATATATTCCTACATTATACAAATATGAGACAATTTCAGATGCATCTTCAATTAAAACAACATTAGATAATGAATAATTCAAATTGCATAGATTGTTAATGCGTATTAAAAGATAAATTGAAAAAAAAAACAATTTTCAGTTTGGCGCCCCTTTCGTGCTGAGCACCCTAAGTAGTCGCCCAGCCCAAGTCGCCCATAGCTTTCGCCAGCCCTGATTAGAATTGTTTAGCCATAATAAGATTTTATTGACTCATTTAGCTATTTGTCTATAGAATTTTTTTGATATGAATTCAATAGTCTTTTACACATATTTTATTTTTTTTTAAACTAATTAAAATAAATATTTATACTCAAATATGAAAAATATTTTTCAAGAATACTTTTTCAAAATTATACTTATATTTTTATATATTTTTTTTAAACTTTCGTCAGTCAAAAGTTGTGAACAAATTAGCAAACTCGCATTTTTGATCAGAATCAGAAGTATGTAAGCTGTTTTAATTTTTTGGTTTTAAATAATGAAATGATAATACTTATGATTAAACTATTGAAAGGTAATCAAATTAAAAATTTAACTTACAATTATATTTACAAATTCACTAGTACATTTAATCAAATATTTTCCGTAATTCATAAGGCAGTACCAATAAAAAATTTCTAATTTTATATAGAAATAAATTTTAATAGTTTGTTGATTGTTCTTATGATTTTTAAAATCAATATATGGCATATGCCTATTTTGTACTTTTAAATATATTTTTTGTTTTAAAAGAGGATATTGTTAAATGACTTTTTATCGATAACTACTTTTAAACGTTCTATATTAAAATTTAGCAGAAAAGTAAATATTCATCAAGAAGATTTCTTCTAGAGAGGAAGGGCATCACTAGAGTACATTATTCCAGTAGCAGGTGTTTTCATATTTTTCACAGTTTTAGTTTTATCTTTTTTTTTTTTTTTTTTTATTTATTATTGTGAATAAGTTAGAAAATCATGTCTATAAATATATCATAATTAATTTATGTACATAAAATGTATGCTATATAAACAATAAAAATTAAATCTAAACCTAAACTTGATAAATTGTATTAAAATTACAAAACTAATTAATTTATTAACGACTTACTTGTAGATTTATATAAAAATCCTGTGCTTGTTCCAGCAATAATATTATTACTGATTTCCTCTTCATTGCCTCGAATATTCTCTAGTATTGTACCGAAAATACTATAGTATACCAATATCGTTCCAAATTTATTTGACATATCATTTCCATGTTTTAAAACGCTATTTATCAACCTAAAAATTACGTATCAAAATATTATATGTAAATAATATTATATAAATATAATTACTTCCTATAACAATAGTAATAATTTTTTTTTTTTTTTATTGAACTTAAGCTTCGGCGACTAGGGCCATTAGCTGTTGTAGGGGTAAGATTGGTACAGTAGGTTGTTTTTTTTTATGATTGTTACGGTTGATAGTAAATGCGTGTATGTATGGTAAGGTTTTTAACCACTATGATCCCGGGTGGTCACCCATCCGGGAGCTAGTAGCTGTGGCTGTTACTAACTCTCAGTCGCATTCCGCAACTGGTAGCAGCTAACGCGCCACGCCAAGCCACAATAGTAATAATTACTAACTAATAATATATACAATTATAATTTATAAGAAGGCATACACAAATAAAATAACAATATTAAAGTTTCTTACTGTGTCCTGTTATATGTACGAGTTAGGTTATCTCGCGTTACAATTTTCATACCATAATGCATTCCCCGTACAATACCAATTGAAGCGCCCACTGTATACCATGCACCGATTTCAATAAAACACATTTCAAAACGTCCTCGCTGTTTGGAACCAGCTCCGTCTAAAAATATATACTCCGGTTGATAAGGCTGAATTTGTGGGCCATGATTTAAATGTAGCGATGTAGCCAATACGTTTTTCTTATTATCTATAATGACAGAAGTGTTTAAGATTAACTAAGCTTACTTCTATGTATTCATAAAATGATTTATATAACACGTTGACTTGCCTTGCGGCCGTCGGCGTCCGTATAAAAATAATTAAGTATTGATAATTTTTAGACCGCCGGCTGCCGCACCACATCATTTGTGGGAGGCCATACGGCCGCGGGCTGCTGTAAATTAATTATTTATAGATTTATATTATAAACTTTTCCGTGGCGCTACAATAATGATCTATAAAATGCGCTATGGCATAGTGGGAATAATTGCAATTTTTTTGATGTTTTTTTTTTGTATTTATAATTTTTTTTTTTTAATTTAATAGTATAAATACAAATTTATAATGACACTGAAAAATGTTCTTGGCGTACCCATAATAAATATTCTTGTGGCCGCCATCGGCTGCATGGCAGTCAACGTGATAATATACATATATTAAGTGTGTGTAAAGCGTGCTAAATTAAATACCTACCTTTATTATCGTCTTTTATATCTGCCATGTTATAGCCGAATTAAGAACAATGTCGACAAAATAAATAATATCACAAACAACCGTTAGTTTTCTCCTTTGTTTCGTTTTGCATAAAGGTGTATTACACGTGCGGTGACTGTGTTGACTATGTGGAATTGAAGAACAAGTGTCAATTTCAAAAAATGCTTTGTTGATTACACCGTTCACTATGAATGCAACACTACAATAACTACGGTACACACACAGCCTTCTCCAGATACAAAGATCGATCGTACTGGCAACCGCCGACCAGCATATAGTTTTCAAGGGGTGTGTTGGAGGGTACGCTTTGGGTATGCTGGTGCACACGTGGCGCCACCTGTCGAGGTGTACTGATTTCATTCCGAACGGTATTCAATGACAATGCGGATGACTCCCGGTGTAGAATATCGGTATTTCATTATAGAACCAGTTTTCTGCTGTATGTATATTTTTTTTTTTATTCCAAAAATGTTTAAGAGTTGGACAACGATACTGTGATCGAACATTGCGGTGTAGCTCTGCCCGCTAGAAAAAAAAAATCCGATGGAGTGCAAATGACAATGATTTCGAGGTACAATTGATTCATCCTTTCTCCTCGCATCTCATCAATTGTTATTGATCCAAGCTCCGTGATAACATACAGACAAAACCGTATACCCTATCGAATAGAATTCTTTTATATTTTTATATTATTATTGTAAATCAATGGTGCGCAAACTTTTTTGATCCAAGATTGTTAAGTTGATTTATTTAGATAAGTCGATCCTCTAACAATATTAAATAAGTATAAAGTATACATTTAGGTAGACAATATTTATATTCGTATAAGCAAAACCATTAATTTTAGGCAATATGATAGTCTAATAATTGACGATTAAGCGAACACTGACGGTACAAAGTAATTTTACATAGTATAAAATAATATACGCAGTATATGAATTTAACATTTATATTGGTGTTAAATAATTGACGAAATCTTACTAAAACTATGTGTATTCTTTAAGAGTTGACCCTCTATGTTACACCCTACTGTTGTAAATGACAATATCACAAAGATATAATGAAAATACCAACTAAGCCTAACTATTATTTTAACAACGAAATACGGTCACTTACAAATCTATAGTTATTACCAATTGGGTACTTATTATATAAACACAATATGAATAAAACTTGTATTCATAATTTTTTATATGTATTAATAAAAATAACAATAATAATTAATATATTTAAAGCATAGTATTATTAGTTTAGTTCATAGTGAAACCGGTTTTTTGTTTATAAAAAATTCAATATTCACCATAAACCAAAACACACATTTAAATAATTACTTGTGTACTACACAAAAATAAACAATAAATATTTACAAATAATATTATAATTCTGCATATTGTTGATTCTCATTATGAAAAATTGTTTATTTATTTAATTTATTGTGAAACTCATATCATGAAATGTAATATATTTGTATATGGTGTTGAAATAGTTTGAATATTTTAAAACCTATATGGCTCTGCTATTAACAGTAACCAAAATAAAATATTGAGACTTAAAAAAAAATATTATCATACCTAATAGTTTAATTGTATATTTCATAATATGTTAAATATAAGTTTAAATGTATGTATACAAAAAATGATATTTATAAATTATAATAACAAATTAATAAATTAAAAAGCAATATGAAATACAGTTGTAAAAAATAAGAGATTGTTAATACATAGGAATATATTATTAAAAATAAGGAAAGAAATTTAGAAAACATTAAATGTAAGAATTGTAGAATATTAATGATCCATTAAGAATGGTTGAAGGGACAGCAGGATACGAGTGGTTGTTGTGGTCTTTTTAAAAAGAGATGCCATTAGGACATGTGGCGTCAATATAATGTTAAACAGTTAAATATGTATATATATTTATAAGACAGAGACTATAAACCAGGGGTATCAAACCACGGCCTGCTTTCTTTTTTTCTGGTGATCAGCAGTCCAAGTAACGTCTCGATTATTGTGATTCTTTTACAAAAGAGAAATTCCACAAGGACACCCGGCAACTATATGTGTTACGTGTTGTTGTGTTAAACGGCGAAATATATATATATATTATATATGTTATATAAATATAAGACGTTACAAGGTAGAGCCTATAAACTAGAGGTATGTAGTATGTGGCGTACCGTGTCACACCCTTGTCTTTATTTACAAACCGGTTTTCTGATAACACATGTTGAGCATTATATGTATTTTTAATACATTTTACATTCTGGTGGAACTATGAATTTTACAAAGATATGAATTTTTTGTGTGTCCATGTACAGTATAAGCAGTCGAAAATAGCTTTGATTTTAAACTTTTAGGGTGGTTTTGGATAGCAAATTAGTTTTAGTTTATACTTTGGAGAGGTAAAAATTAAAAATTCCTAGTTTTTTTTTTATAATCAGATTAAACAAATAAAAAATTGAGAGAAACGGGATTTTTTACAGAAATTCAATATTATAATTAAAATAATTATTTCGTAATAATATTATGGTTTCCTTAAAACTTTCGTATATATTATGAATTGTATTAAATGAAAATTCAGAACATGTAATTAATTTTAAGATATTTACCTACCTATTTATACCGTGTACTTATTCATACTGTTTTATTGAAAGATGGTATTGACTCGAACATTAATAACAATAACGTAATACTATGGTATAAATATATTTATATATTTCATTTTAATATGTAATCAAATTGACAATTTTTTAATCATTTAATACACACATGTTTTTATCACAAATTTGACCTTTAAAAAAAAAAAATAAAATAATGGGTGACCAGCTGCCTAAAAAGGCTAAAGACTCTTACTATATAGATTATGCTCTACAGGTACAGGATCACGGTATATTTTAAGCGTTTAGGATCATCATGAAGGTTTAATATTTTTTATCTTTTTATTTTTGGCATGTTTGTGTATTACTACATAGTATAATACTACAATATTGAGATATGCTCTACATCATACATTTTAATATTGACAATGAGTTTTAAACTTAGTCGAATACCGTTTTTATACATTTTATGATATATTATGTACTCGTAGTTTATTATTGATAAATGGGAATTTTATAGTAAATTTAATATATTATTGAATATAATTTATATGGTGTTTGAAAGCTTAATTATAATAACTAATAAGCATACTCTAAACTTTGAATATTAATACGCGTGTTATTAGTACTATCTACTATTGTTATTTTTACAGGCACTTACTGATTTACAATCAAATGTGTTTAAATAATCAGATACTCCTTAATTATAAAATCAATTAATTAATTACTTTTTATGGTTATTTAATAATAATAAATCATACTACTCTTCTATTAAGGATCATAACTACTAGAAAAATTTAAAAGAAGCTTAAGTAGGTACTCATTCCGCAGAAATTTATCATATGGTGGAATACCTACTGTAATTATTATCACGATAATAATTATTAATTATATGAAACAAAAGAACAAAATAATTGAATCTAGTACCTAACACTTAAATAATTATTCTATTAAGGTAATAAATATATATATAAAAAATTTAAGGCTTAAAAATAAATAAAGTAGTAATAGGTTTGATAAATAAATAAAATAACGGGTTAATTTAGTTAATATTACAAGAATACAAGATAGATAATTCTTTGATCATACCCGGATGTTTAAAAACCCAACATTTTTAAATGTGTACTATAACACCGCGCATGGCAAGTATTCGTTTAAATAATAGATGAAATCGTAGTGTGACATGAACGATGTGTCTTGAAATTTTTATTGATAGAGACTGCTGCTTTACTGTTTTTGTTTAACCCTTATATAGAATTATTGTAATGTTATCCCTTCTACTTTTGATGATTACCGGTTGAATGAAACGTCGGGAAAATGTCTTGCGTGCGTATTATAAGTATATGTATTGTGGCTTAACATATAAATATTGTCAATGGAGCATGTGTATTTCTTTGTATAGCGATGGTGCGTTTATTCACAAGCGTGTGTTTGAAATGCGTAGGTAATTGTATATTGCGTTATTGTTAATATTATTTGGTAACACTTAATAATGCAGTTGGTTTTGGTAGTAAGTAACTAATAACGATCAATTGAAAAATTATCGGTGACAGAACTAAGTCATAAAATACACTTCTCAAATTTCTAAAATTTAAAAACTTACAAAATGTGTAACGGTTACGTCATTGAACTTAAAAAAGTGAGAGATAGATAACCACTCTGCAGTACAGTTTAAGGTGTCAAGTGTACTTCATCATTGAATAGGTCACTGTAATGGATGTGCTAAATTTAAATTCAATTAAATCATAATTTCGTCTGTAAAACATTTCTGATCGAAAATGGTTTTCAATAATGAGTCAGCTTTATTACTAACTAAATTAATTATGATACCATTAATAATTTATTTTACTGCGATAGTAATACAGTGGGTTTAATTAATTTTTTCCAATATATTGCATTTATTATTTATTATTATAATTATACATTATATATTATTAATGTAATTAACTTTTGAGTCATTGTCGACTTACCGTAAATTTGGTGAATTGGTTCATTATATATAAATAAGCAATAACTTAAAATAAATCTAAATATTTTGAAAATGTCATGATGTTGATGTATTAAAACAAAATAATATTTGGAAAAGTTTCAAATCCCTACGAAGTACGAATAATATTCTTGAATTCCAGTGAAATAACTAAAATCATTATACTTCGTTTAAATATCAAAGTTAGTAAAATATTATACTTTAAATGTTAAACATTTTGTGAAATAAAAATATTACTATAGTTCACACATGATCTATAATTAATGAATACATTTAATATCTCATTCTTACCTAATAAAATATAAAAATTACAAATCTTATTTTGTAGATTTTCAAATTCCTTAATATTACGTATCAACAATAATCAGCAAATAATATACATAATTCTTTGATTAAATAGATCCTACCTTTAACTTCTTAGTGG